CTAAAGGTAGATTCACAGGTCCACTGTAATGTGTTAAGCACACTCTGGGTTAATGTACACTGCGACATGCATTTACCTGTGTTGTGTTATAAAAACCTGTGTTGTGTAATGGAAAATTGACCAAATATGCAGAATTTTCAGGAGCTTAGCCCACCTCAATTGATGTTAACGTGATATTAAAGTTTTGATTTTTTTCTTTAAATAACAAAGATGTCATACTTACCTGCTCGGTGCAGTGGATTTGCACAGAGCATCCTGAGTCCTCTTCTAGGGTCCCCCGCCAGTGCTCCTGGCTCCTCCCTCCTGCTGAGTGCCTCCATAGCAAGCAGTTTGCTATGATGGCACCCAAGCAAGCTGCTTGCTATGGGGGCACTCAGCAGTCTACTTTCCTGTATCTTCCTGTAAATATTTTTTAAAACATGATCACATACAATATATGTTTCCCATATATATGTATATAAGTTAAAAAATACCTGATTTGGAAATATCATAAATATGTGTGTGGAAAGTAAGATGTTTAATAAAATCCAGATAGACATATACTTCATGCAGTTCAAACATCTATGCGGTGATATAAGTGCACATGCCCAGACCAAAAAAGTGCAAAATCACATACGCGCTATTAAATTTTAAATCTTATAGTAAATGTCTGTATTCTGTGCTTTGGGAAAAGACATGTGCGAACGTCAACTTACTTTCACGAACAGCACTATTAATAGCCAGGCTAATATTTATATTTTTTAGTTTATTTTTTTTTCTTCTTTTTCTTATTTTTTAGTTTGCTATCCTTCATTATTATTGTCTTCTACCATTTTACATTACATTTATTCATATTTATGTATATTTATATATTATATTTGTGATATTTATACATTTATAATAGGGCAGCACAGTGGCTAAATGGTTAGCACTTCCACTTAGCAGTACTAGGGTTGTTGGTTTGAAACCCAGCCACGGCAACACCTCCTTGCTGATAGGTTAATTGGATCCTGTCAAAATTGGCCCTAGTATGTGTATGAATGAAAGTCAGGGCCCTTAGATTGTACACCCCTTTTGGTTAGGGATTGATGCAAATGTACAATATATACAGTATGTAAAGTACTGCATAAATTGATGGAGTACCTGTAATAAATAATATATATTATTATACATTTATTATGTCTTAGTATGCATCCATGATTGTAACTGTAGAACTGTTACTACACAGATACACATCCACATAGATATTCTAGAAGAGCCTTTTACTTCATTCATTTATAATCTTCTGTAAGCTGTGTTTCTTATATACTCAATTTCTTTCCTACTTTAATGAATGCTACTACATTTTTTAAAGCATATATTCTCTGCAGTATAAATACTTGTGTATGTACTGTCATATGCAATGATCATGCCCAGGGGCTTAGGAATTTGAGGCATATTTCTTGTTACACTGAGCATGCCCAGGGACCACGAACCCACACACAATACCCGTGCTGAAGCAAAATGAAAAAATGAAAAGGAATACAAATGTTATACTGTGTTACCTATCTATATACAACGGTTCATAATATTATCCCCAAAAATGTGATATGTGTACCAACATAATAGATCCAAAATAGACTGAAAAAAAAATAAAAATAAACAGAGGGTGACACTACTATTCTACAGTAACACACCAATAAATCAAAAACATCAATTAATAAATCTATCATCAACATAAATCCTGATGTAAGTAGATAGCATGTTGTTGGTAATCATCTATCCACAGCCTTGCAACCATATGGCATATTCCTAGATTGTAAACTCCGAGGAGCAGGGCCCTCCTATCCCTCTTGTATTGAACTGTATTGTTGCTGTATTGTCTCCCGTTATATTGTAAAGTGCTGAGCAAACTGTTGGTGCTATATAAATCCTGTATAATATTAATATCACAGCAACAGGTTGTTCAATGGCACTCCAGAACTCTAGGGTACAAGATTAGAGGAACTGAATATATTCTCCTTTGAGAAGAGCAGATTAAGGGGGGATATGATCAACATTTATAAATACATCAGTGGTTCATATAGTGAACTCGGTGTAGAGCTATTCACCCTGAGGTCATCACAGAGGACAAGGGGGAACTCTTCACGTCTGGAGGAAAAGAAATTTAATCTCCAAATACGGAAAGGTTTCTTCACAGTAAGAGTTGTGAAAATGTGGAATAGACTCCCTCAAGAGTTGGTTCTGGCCAGCTCAGTGGATTGTTTTAAAAAAGGCCTGGATTCTTTCTTGGATACACAGAATATAACTGGATACTAACATTTATAAGTAAAGTTGATCCAGGAAATATCCGATTGCCTCTCGGGGGATCAGGAAGGAATTCTTTCCCCTGCAAGTTGGATCATGCTTTGCTGGGTTTTTTTGCTTTCCTCTGGATCAACTGTGGGTATAGGAATATAACTTTTTTTTTTTTTAATGCTTGAACTGGATGGACTTTTGTCTTTTTTCAGCCAGACTAACTATGTAAGGCATTGGCATGGTGTTCCCCTTCAAATCCATTTCACATTTTGGACATTGCACAAGTACACATGCTTTTATAACTGCTGCTTCTTTTCTGTGATGCTAATGGACTTAGATTTTTGGCCTGTATTCTATAATTGATGCACATAGCCACATAGCGAGGGCTCACACAGTTGGAAAGAATATTTGTGCCTGCTAATCAGGTGCAATCACTTTAACAGACAGAATGAATGTCGATGGTGTGCGTGTCCCTTATTGGACATATGTAGTTGTTTGGCGTTCTAACAATACAACCTATGTTATATAAAGGACTGCAGTAGTGTGGTTTGCTTTGCCTGAGAAGAGTCAGATTATTTGCAATCAGTCCTTGCCTGTGGGGTTTTTTTTCTGGGGGGGAGATACAGTATTGTGCATAAAGACTAAGACCCCACTAAGGCTGTGGTTTGATGTTTGCTGTAAATGTTGTGCATTTTATCGTTCTAAAGTGGGCATGGCTTCAATCTTGTGTGTATTATTCTATATCTGGCCAGGGGTTTATGCTTTGTGAGCATCTGCAGTGATCCTGTCTTAGTTATTATACTAACAAATGTCAAGTGCTTGCTCTTACAACTCCTAACTGAACATATGTGCGTAATCATTTAGATAGAAATGCAGCTTCTCTGTAACCTTTGCTGAGAATGTACTGTTTGGTCAGATTATTTGTTTGATCAATCCTTGCATGTGACCATTTAAACATGGATTTTTTTCTCTGGGGCTGGGATTTTATTATTGTGCATAAACAGATGTAAGTTGTTTGTACTCCCATAAGGCTTTTGTTCCCCTTTGTGTTTCCATTGTAAATGTTGTGCATTTTATCGTTCTAAAGTGGGATGGCTTCAATCCTTGTGTGAGCATTACGGTCTAACGCCATGGGTACGCAGCGTTTTTTCTCTGGTGGTGAGCATGAGAGCCAGTCTTGCACCCAAGAGGTCCCCTTGTCTGCGCAATGTGTGTTTGATTTTTACTAACAAATTTTAATGTCTTAAAGAGTGCTCTGGCTCTTAATGTGTGATTGTGTGAGCTACTCCTAACTGACTATAATGGGCTCTTTGTAATGCTTTGTAGATCATGCAGCTTCCTTGCTAACCATAATCGGAAATGTCACTGTTTGTGTTTAGGGGGCAATTTGCCTAATTTGGTGGGTGTATTCATTATCCACAGCTGCACGTCGCAGAAATATATATATTCCTGCTTTTCAACGAAATCGGACATTGTACACATATGTGTGGTTTTACTTGTGAGGCACAGCATGGTGACAATTTTTTTTTAGCAATATTTTTTGAAGCAATATTTATTTGTATGCACATTAACATGGACTGTTTCATAATTTATATAATTGTGCATCTAACAAACAGACGGGGTGTGCGAAAAGTTTTTGTACTCTAAAATGTAGCCTGGTTTCATATTAGCCTTTTTGTTCCCTGTTGTATCTTGTGAAAGTTAAGTCCATTGTAAGGTGTGATCTTTTAGATTGTAAGCTCTTATGAGCAGGGCCATTCTAATGTAGCACTATAAGCGTATTTTTCCCCAAGTAATTGAATGTACCTAATTGTTGCTGCTGTCAAAATCAATGTAGACTATAACTACATATTGCACCAATAAAATATTTCTTGTATGTTCAAGTTTAATGTATTAACACCCATATAAATTTCTATAATCTATATAATAGTGTCCAAAATATAATTTTTTCCGCACATATGCAAGTTAAAAAAACCAAAACCAAGCAGCTGCAATGCTGAATGTAATATACCAATGAATGCAGCTGGTGGATAGGTAGTGTTCAACATGTCAATCTGGCCATTAGTTTGTTGCAATCCCCTTAACCACTTGCCTACCAGGCACTTATACCCCCTTCCTTACCAGACCAATTTTCAGCTTTCAGCGCTGCCGCATTTTGATTGACAATTGCGCGTTCATGCAACATTGTACCCATATGACATTTTGATCATTTTTTTCTCACAAATAGAGCTTTCTTTTGGTGGTATTTAATCGCCACTGGGCGCTTTACTTTTTGCTCTATAAATAAAAAAAGTGCAAAAAATTTGAAAAAAAAAAAAAGTTTCTTTGTTTCTATTATAAAATTTTTCAAACAGGTATTTTTTCTCCTTCACTGATGTGCGTTGATGAGGCAGCACTGATGGGCACTGGTAGGCGGCACTGATGGGCACTGATAGGCAGCACTAAAGGGCACTGATAGGCAGTACTAATGAGGTGGCACGGATAGGCGGCACTGATAGACAGCACTAATGAGGTGGCACGGATAGGCGGCACTGATAGACAGCACTAATGAGGTGGCACGGATAGGCGGCACTAATATGCAGCACTGATAGGCGGCACTGATAGGTGACACTGATGATGGGTACTGATAGACGGCACTGACTGGCATCACTGCTGGGCACTGACTGGCGGCACTGACTGGCACAACCCCTGGGCACTGACTGGTGGCACTGACTGGCAGCACTGCTGGGCTGCACTGATGGGTGGCACTGGTGGGCAGCACTGGTGGGTGGGCACAGGTGGGTGGCACTGGTGGGCACAGGTGGGTGGGCACAGGTGGGTGGCACTGCTGGGCACAGGTAGGTGGCACTTCTGGGCACAGGTGTGTGACACTGCAGAGTGGCACAGGTGGGTGCACTGCTGGGCACAGGTGGGTGCACTGCTGGGCAGAGGTGGGTGATCTGCTGGGCACAGGTGGGCGGAGCTAGTGGGCGCACTGCTGGGCACAGGTGGGCGGAACTTGCGGGTGGCACTGCTGGGCACCGATCATCAGGGCACTGATCATCAGTGCCCTGATGATCGGTGCCGATCCCCGCTCTGACAACTGCCGGTTCTCGGCAGTACTTTCCTCACGATCTGACAGCGTGAGGAAAGTGCAGCCGAGAACCGGCACTTGCATTTCCCTCTGATCAGCGTGTCATTGGACACCGCTGATCACGTGGTAAAAGGCCGGTGTGATTGGCCTTTTACCACATCACGTGATCAGCTGTGTCCGTAGGACACAGCGATCACGGAGATCGCCGGGTGCGCGCCCCCTGGGGCGCGCAGGAGAGCGCGTTCTGGGAGGCCGTCATATGACGTCCACTCAGAACTGGCCGGCCGCAGTGCAGCCGTCATTCGGCTATCTGCGGTCGGCAGGTAGTTAACAACAATAATTTGTGAAATAAAAGTGGTTTGCCTTACAAATGTTATAAACGTAAAATAACATATATTCACGTGTTATATTTTACATTGTTCTTGCAACCAAAAATAGCTATGGCACACAAACTGTCGCCAGACTGGCTTCCGGACCAGAAACACGTCATCACGTTTGCGGAAGGAAGTTTGCATGCTATTTTTATGGAACCATGGCGAGATCCTTGTTTTCCAAGGAGGAGCTTCTGCTCATTTGTAAAGTAAGTGTGGGAATTGTTCTAATGGTCATGGTGTTTGGGGGTGATGTGATAGGTAGATGGTGCAATTTATTTTTCTTTTGGTTTTGTGTGGTCAGCAGTACATATTCACTTTCTGCAAATGCGCACAAACACACGTTACTTCCTGTCTATATGCACATTAGCTCCTTGGCACTGATGGTTAACAAATATATGCACCATCTCAGCAGCTGGGCACTGATGTTGAGCGTTTGCATATGTGTCCATAATTTATACAAATGTGCCAAGAGTGCATGTTCTCTGTGCTCTTGGCACATTTCCCAGCGCCTCAGGGAAAGCTCCTAATTGTAACTTGCAATTATGACCTTTCTGATCATGTGACCACGTGACAGCCAATCATTAACAGCCAACTCACAAATGCATGCTGAATTTTGCCACAGTACATGATGGTGCTATACAAACAATATAATAATAAAAAAAAATAAATATATATGGGTTACACACTCACAAATGCATGCTGTCCTGCCACAGTACATGTACTGTGCCAGGATACCACATGCAGGCACAATCATGTACATATGTCATGGTGTAATATGTAATCACCACACTAATATTTACTATGAATTACTGTAGATGAAAATGTAACAATAGGCTTGCTGATAAGCACTGTCATGTATTCTCACACCGAAAGAAGCCAACAATTAACCACTTGCCTTCCGGAAGATTTACTTCCCTTCCTGACCAGGCCATTTTTTGCTGTTCGGCGCTATGCTATTTCAACTGGTAATTGCGCGGTCATGCAGTGCTGTACTCAAACAAAATGTATGTCCTTTGTTCACACAAATAGAGCTTTCTTTTGTGATATAAACAAAAAAAGACTGAAAAGTTTGAAAAAAAAATCAATTGTTTTATTTTTGGTTATAAAAAATATATAGTTAACTCAAAGCTAGTCATAAATTTAGGCCAAAATTTATTCTGCTACATGTCTTTGGTGAAAAAAAAAACATTTGTATTAACCACTTGCCCTCCAGATGATTTACCCTTTTTTTACACAAATAGAGCTTCCTTTTGGTGGTATTTCATCACCACCTTTTTACTTTTGCGCTATAAACAAAAAAATACAGAAAAATTAAAAACCAAATGACATTTTTCATTTTCATAAACAAAAATCCCAATACATGTATATTGATTGATTTGTGTGAAAGGAATAGCGTCTACAAATTATGGTATATATATATTGGAATTTACACAGCTTTCATTTCTTGAGGTGCTAAAATACCAGGGCAGTACAACCCCCCCCCCCTCCAAATGACCCCTTTTTGGAAAGTAGACACCCCAATGATTTTGTAGAGAGTGTAGAGAGGAATGTTGAGTCCACGGAACATTTTATTTTTGCCACAAATGTTTCTAAAATGACAAATTTTTTCTTTTTGCTTTTTTACACAAAGTTGTCTCTTAAATGATATATTGCTCATGCATGCCATGGGGGTATATGTGGAAAAACACCCCAAAACACATTCTTCTACTTCTCCCGAGTATGAGGATACCACATGTGAGAGACTTTTTGGCAGCCTAGCTACATACAGGCCCCCAAAATCCAATGACCGCTTCCAGGCTTTCAAAGGGCATATTTCTAAATATAACTTCTTTACTACCTTTCACAGTTTCGGAGGCTCTAAAATGCCAAGGAATTTGATAAGAGTCATGGTGAGTATTTTACAGATATCATTCTTGTCACAGGGTTTTGAAAAAGAAAAGAAAAAATACATTTTTGTTTTCTTTCTTCGTTTTCCAAAAACGTGGCAACAAATGAGATTTGCAAAGTACTCACCATGCCTCTTAGCAAATACCTTGGAGTGTCTACTTTCCAAAAAAGGGGCCATTTGGAGGGGTTGCTTCTACTATCCTGGCATTTCAGGGCTAACATTAGAAGATAATGCCACACATCACCCACTCTTGAAGACCAAGCCACTTTGGCCCTGATTTACTATTGTGCTTTGACAGCGTCTAGGCACATTTCCGTGAGCTAAAGTCTACTTTTCATTGAAATCTGTCTACTTTTAGATGGCAAAGACATTTACTAAAGAAACAAGTAGACTCGAAAGCAAATTTACTAATAGGCACAATACAGGAATCATTCTCAAAAAACAGACATCCTAGAAGCACGTCTAACAGAATGAAAAATCACTGCAGAAACATGTTCACATTGAAATGTGCTTTCCCAAATATCTGGACTTCACTTTAAACAATATATTACTTTTCAAAACTGTTTTTCACTGGGTAAAAGAGTTTTTTTAGGGAATTCATGACAGTCAAGAAGTAGACGCTTTTCCAAAGTCTATGCATGGATATAAATGCGCATGTGCAGAACACAATTTATCTGTCTACTGTGGGTGCTTTCTTTTTAGACGCTGTTTAATAGTAAATCTCTGTGTGGAGTCCTCTACAAGACGACAATCGCGACCATCTACTGTGTTTGACAAAAAGCACTATTTGTAGCTAGGCATATCTTTATGTATTCCAATTTGATTTCCTTAGTTATATTGATTCTATCTTTGTTTCTTTTCCTTTATAATGATTTTCTGTAATGGTTTACATATTTTGAAGATCTAGATAATATATATTTTGACAGCTGAATCTAAAAAATAAAGGTCAGCAATTAAAAAATAATAAAAAAAACTATGTGAGGTCCCACCTCCCATCCATACCAAGCCCTTCGGGTCTGGTATGGATTTAGAGGGGAAGCCCCATGCCAAAATTAAAAAAAATGGCATGGGTGCCCCCCAAAATCCATACCAGACCCTTATCCGAGCATGCAGCCCGGCAGGTCAGGAAAGGGGGGAGGCGAGTGAGCGTTCTCTTGAACCATACCAGGCCACATGCCCTCAACATGGGGGGGGGTGCTTTGGGGCAGGGGGGCTCCACCCCCAAAACACCTTGCCCCCATGTTGATGAGGACAAGGGCCTCTTCCCATAACCCTGGCCGGTGGTGTTGTGGGGGTCTGCGGGCGGGAGGCTTATAGGAATCTGGCATTGGATCTACTGCGGGGGACATTCTTTGAGTTTTTTCTTTTAATAAAAGACTTGTCAAAGACCGTGTCCTGTCTTTTTTCACGCTACACTTGTTGTTTTTTGTGAATGAGTATGGGGTACCATGTACCCCATACACATTCACATGGGGGGCCAGGATCTGGGGGCCCCCTTGTTAAAGGGGGCTTACAAATACCAATAAGCCTCCCACTTGCAGACCCCACAACCACCGGCCAGGGTTGTAGGGAGGAGGCCCTTGCCCCCCCCCTTTCCTGACCTGCCAGGCTGCATGCTCGGATAGGGGTCTGGTATGGATTTTGGGGGAACCCCCACGCCATTTTTTTTAAGTTTTGGCGTGGGAGTTCCCCTCAAAATCCATACCAGACCTGAAGGGCTTGGTATGGATGGGTGGTGAGACCCCACGCTGTTTTTTTTAATTTATTATAGTGCTGGTTTTTAAATGTAATTATCACTTTTTTTTTCTTCACTATAGCTCAGAAATTGAGTTTATTACAATGTTTACTTTTAGTTTCTTAAAAAAAAAACAAAGTTTCCTGTAACTCCGGGGAAAGTGACAGCTAATCTTGTGCGCTATAGTGAAGAAAAAAAAAGCTGGCATTTGCATTTAAAAATCGGCACCGATATACACTTTGTATTGCGTAAACCGAGGTACACCTGTATTAGTATTGCAATCCTTTGTACTGGGATACATAGAACCAACATACATCTGAATTGGCAACATTTCACAACATTTGTGTCACATTTGAGATATCTGGCTTGTTACACTGACCTTGCCCAGGGACTTCACACCACAGAAATGCAGGCTGGATGGGTGTTACAGTGGATAAGTAGTTAGCACTGTTGCCTCACAGCACTAGGATCATTGGTTTGAATCCCAACAACAGCAAATAAGTTGCATGGTCTCTCTGGGCGGCTGCCCTAACAGATGTGCTGGCAGCATCTTTGCTTTGCTTTTTGAGATCGTGCGACTTACACCACCGTCAAGCCCAACTTTTACAGCATGTAACTTACAGTGAAGTCGCATGATTACAAAATTTGGGGACATGTCGATTTCAAGTGCGATTTGCAAGACATATGAGGCAGATCCAGCATACTAGCAAAAGTGAATTGACATTTTCAGTATTGCATGTGAGATGTGGCCTTAACTCATGCGATAAGCTTGAGTGAATTGTGCCCATAGTGCCAATAAATGTTGCCATGGGGTTCCCCTTCACATCCCTGTTCAATGTTCTGCTGTATGCTGCACAGGTTAACTTCAATCTTGCTTTCTTTCTGACTCTGATTTTTGGTTCATACCAAGGGTTAACGCAGGTGGAAAGAGGATTGGTGCTGGCTAATCAGGTGCAATCATTTTCTCTGACCAAATGAATGACAGTGGTCGGTGTGGCCTTCATTGGGCGTGGGGCCTTTTTGGCGTGTTCCTAATCCAACCTATGTTATATAAAGGGCTGCAGTTGTGGGTGGTTGGCCTGGTAATAGGCCAGGTTATTTTCAGCAAGCCTTTGCCTGTAGTAGTTTTGAG